AAAAAGGCAGTGTATAACCTTCCTTTTTTACCAAAAATCGACTACACCAAAATTTCTCGGGAAAACACTTTTTCTTATTAATTGGGGTGCGTAGAATCCAAATCAATTCGTACTTTTTCGATCAGACTTCTCAATCAAAAGTTATAGACTAGAAACCAATTTCGAAAAAAGATTCAAAGGGCTGTAACTTTTGAACTAGTAGCCCAATCTTGGAACTGTTTGAAATTATGGATTCTACAGGCCACATTCTATAAGAAAATTTTTTTCGGGTCGATGTGAGACAATTTTTTTTTCGGGCTCAAAAAAAGGCAGTGTATAACCTTCCTTTTTTACCAAAAATCGACTGCACCAAAATTTCTCGGGAAAACACTTTTTGTTATTAATTTTGGTGCGTAGAATCCAAAACAATTCGTACTTTTTCGATCAGACTTCTCAACCAAAAGTTATAGACTAGAAACCATTTCGAAAAAAAAATTCAAAGGGCTGTAACTTTTGAACTAGTAGCCCAATCTTGGAACTGTTTGAAATTATGGATTCTACAGGCCACATTCTATAAGAACATTTTTTTCCGGGTTCGATCTGAGACAATTTTCTTTTCGGGGCTCAAGAAAGGCAGTGTATAACCTTCCTTTTTTACCAAAAATTGACTACACCAAAATTTCTCGGGAAAACACTTTTTCTTATTAATTTTGTGGCGTAGAATCCAAAACAATTCGTACTTTTTCGATTAGACTTCTCAATCAAAAGTTATAGACTAGAAACCAATTTCGAAAAAAAATTCAAGGGCCGTAACTTTTGAACTAGTAGTCCAATCTTGGAACTGTTTAAAATTATTTGAAATTATGGATTCTACAGGCCACATTCTATAAGAATAGTGAACTGAAGATCCTTGATGTTAAAGTTCAAGGATAAACTAATCACGGTGCAATCGAATGGATCTTAGGTCTTTTTTGGGAGGGAGAGAGAGACGAATTCATATTCAATCCAATTTTCACAAGATAACAAAACATTCTGGATGGAACGCACTTACCAACTAAAAGAGAAGCATTAGCTTCTGAGCGTTTTCGTTTAAGTTTTTTTAGGTAAATTCACCGTTAAAGAAAATCTCACAGGAGAATATTCGAAAAATAAATCCAAAAGAGCTAGAGATGAAAGGAGTAACGAATTGTACTAGATTGGTTAGAGTAACGGCGTAGGAAAAAAGATTTATTAGACCTGCTAGAGGACAGGAATTGAAAATTGAAATTGAAAAATGTGAGGGATTCCGAATACAGAAAATCCAAGAAGAGAAGACTTTATAACCTGGCACCAGAAATGAAGAACGGTCAATATGCGTCGGAGGTCGGTTGGATGATGGGGAGTAAGAATCCAGTTATACTTGACTCTAAGCAAATAATTACACGAATGATTGAATACTACCATCAGAAGGCAAATAATATGGGTAGGGGGAGAGTATTTAATGACGTCAGACAGAAATATTTTGTTATCGCACTCAAGAAATTGATGAAGACGGTATGACGTGATTGTATGGAATGCAATATAAGATTTGAAATATAAGTACCATTTGCTGAGACCTGAATAGACTGTTCCAGGCCAATCTGGGTATCGGTTAGACGACGACATGAGAAGTGATATAGAATGTTTACTTGTTTGTCGGCGAGGGAACTACATTTGGACCTAATAAACGGTGGAAGGTTGTTTGTTGTGGTGAAGATGAACATTTGTAATATCTAAGCTGTTTTTTGCTACTCGATACAAAAATGCGTAAACCCTAAAATTCACACGGAAGGGTGAAATGGCCTTCTATATGGAAATCATTACACGACCCACCTTACTTTTTTACTTAGGATTTTTGGGAGTTTATAAAGCAATGTACGAATTTAATATTTACTTTTACGAGGCATTATCCATGTAATCGAAAATCTCATGCTTGCTTTGGGACTGTACTCCTAAAGGGACGTCCGGTTATGTTCAGCCTAATGAAATACATACCGAATACATACATTTCCATGATTTAAAACAGGCCACAAACTACTCTAGTTAATGTTATCTGTAATCTCTAACCCTATTACATGTAAAATCTTCCAACTAGAATACTAATTTCGTGGGAATTATTCGAGAATGCTAAGCACCTTTCTAAAATTAATACCAAATCAATAATTGAGGTTCGTATTTTCTAGCTTACTTCGGACTACCACCTTCAACAACTAGAGAAAATGGGAACCAATGAAAATTTTAACAGAACAATAGAAATTTCACAAAGAACTTTTCAAGGATTACCCAAGCGTGTGTCGTTAGAAACAGCTGCATCCAGAACAGGTAATTTGGAATATAATAAAAACTTGCACCTGTTACACTTGTCTTACTTTCCGTGCGAACGAGAAGTCTCCGAAATTAAAGTTACACAAATTATAGGACACTGTACCTAACCTTATTTACTTCGCGGTTATATCACAAATTAAATGCGACTTCTTACGTAATTACGTATTCTTAGAACGCTTCAACCAGATTAGTTTTTTTATCCAATGCGATAATTGCGGATAATGAATGGTGGTTGTAGATCGCAAGAATCAATTTAGTTCTATTTGATTTTGTGTGCGTTGCTTCAGGAGTAGGATTATTAGGGGTAGTACGGTGAATTTCAAGGGATTTTCTATCATTTCCACGAACGGTGAGACTTCCGAATATTAGGTTGTCTTCTCACTACCCCCCGAGATAATATTTTAAATAAACATTAAAAGACATCATTCATAAATCATAGTCTAATCAGTCCAGTCGATAATGAGTCAGAGGGCTCAAGAAAATCCCCACGGTTTATTCGAAATCAGTGAGAGAAAGCTATATCGTCCCTATTTTTGAATTAAAACACAAACACGCACAAGTGACTCGAAATAAATAATGATAAACAGAAAAAGGAGACGCTTGTGTTCTTAATATGCTTCTACATTTCTTCATGACGGTTACAAGTGAATCTCACAAAAATTTGATACCTACCACAAGAATCGTCCACCATTATTAAGTAGTGCGAACATTACGAGCAGCAACTTTATCAGTAACGTCAAAAAGTCTGAACGTAACTATATAACAATAATAATAATCATATTTATTCAAAAAAAATCAGTATTTAAAGTCCCTCTCCTACTTTCCAAAACTCGATTCTCTTCTTCCTTTTATCGAACACGTAGCAACACAACAGCCAATCGTGCATCCGTTTTTTGTTCCTCCTTATGTCACGACCCAAATTTTTACGCCGGATTCTCTTATCTCAGTCAGATAACACTTTTCTACGAAAAACGCAGTTTTTGCTGATTAAAACGCACTCTTATCGCTAATAAATTGCATCAACTTTCTAACAAAAGCAAATAAAATGCCCATAAATTCAAACAGAGCTGTCACTTAAATAATTTGATACCAAAATAAACGATAAATTGCCCTAGATTTAACAATTCTAGGAATTACTTTTTACAAGGAAAAACAAAGCGCTTGGATACAACTAGAAACGCAATAATCATTGTGTGTTTAACCGTAAAACCTTACCAAACTAATTAAATAATTTGAGAGAAAAATTTAACTAACAATTAATGACACGTTATTAATTCAGGCGTCTGTACGAAACATCAACGTTCGCCTTGACTTTGTTTATATAACAGCATGTACAGTGTGAAAATGTTGTCTGGAACACTGAATATTTCTTCAAATCAAAATTTTTTAAAGAAGCTTTTTATAGTATCCAAAATCTGTTACCAGTCTACGTACTATGAATTTGTGGCCAGTGGCGTACCTCTACATTTTCAAAGGGAGCATATTTTTGTTGAAATGGCAACCACTAGTTTTCATTACATATTCCATGTTTGGATATAGCAACATAAAAAACGCATTATATTACATAAACAAATTTAACAGAAAAACTCTGATCAAGGAATCAAGGAAATAGTTCGTTAATTGATTTCATAATTTTATTAGTTTGAGCATGTTTTTTATGTTGCCAATATATTAAAAAAGTATATTCTTAATAATAACTCACTAAAATAGTGCTTTCGATTAAAAGATGTTGCTCTTAGATCTGTAGACGCCTCGGTAGACGCACGCCACTGTAAATAATTTTAAAACGTGTAGATTTACTCTAACGTTTCTAACAAATATAGAATACATTGCTTTCACATAATTAACAAAAGAGTAAAGTTTTTTTCAACGTGAACTCGTAAAATCAATTAACATAATCATTTTCCTTAATTGGAGTTTTTCTGTAAAAATTGATTATGTATTGGAATAAGTTTTATACTCGTATGCTGCTATATCCAAAAAAGTGTACATATGTAATAAACAGTACCTAGTGGTGCTCTGATCACAAATTTAGAGTACGTAGATTGGTAGCAAACTTATTATATTTTTGAATAAAATAAAAAGCGTCTTTTAAAAAAACGTTGTTGTGAAGGTATATTCAGTGTTCCAGGCAACATTTTCACCCTGCATTTACATACAGACCTGAACAATTTTTAATACACTTTTTATATAAAAGAAAAAGTACCTACAATAAATGGGCCCTTGAATTTGAGCGGATTGGTATATTGAAATTATGGAATAAAAATTAAATTTTTGAACAAAAAAACGAACCTTGAATCTAGGCCAAATTCAACAGGCTACACATTCCCATTTATATCACAACTTTAAAATTGATTAAATCCCAGAAGACTATACCACTTGAAAGATTTTACGTTGAATTTTATACTAATTCTTTTTACATTACTTCTTAAATGTATCGAATATTTATTTTGGCATCTTAAACAGAAACAAATAGTCCTTAAAAGCAAGTAATTATAAACATGACCCTTACTTAGATCTCCCTTTTACGTTTCTTCATTAATCTTTTAAATTTTAACTTAAATAATATGCTCTATTAATATAGGTTTCAAAACCAACAAATTAAAAGTAAAAGTGAAAGATTTACAAAAAGCGCATTTCCATATTTAACCAAAAAAATCCGTCTGAAAATAGAAAAAGTTAGCACTGTTCATTGCTCAATCTATTTTTTGACATGTCATTTCAATTTGATTTTATAACAATCATCTTAGAGTACAGAATTTATAAACAGACGCATCTGATACAACTAAATACCGAACAATGCTCGAAATTTTCACGCATCCATGAATTTTACAACACACCATAATGGGTTGATTCTGTCCCACCAGATCAGCATAGCTTTGTAAAACATATTTTTTAATTTGATATTAGTTTTACTTTTTTCGATGTGCCTATATTCAAAATATACTTTAAATATCTTAACAAACAAAAAAAATTGGATTGCGCAGGCCCAAAATAAATTATTTCATTCGGTATTAGTTGAGGTGCCTACATACAAAATTTCGTTTAAATAGCACCAAATACAAACATTGGATTGCGCAAATACTAAATCTGGGGGGCGCATGCGCAATTTTTTTTAATTTGTCTGAATAGTTACTTGAGGTTTGAGGAATATTTACTAACACAGAAAACCGGACATTCATAATATTATAATTCTTGTAATATCACAAAGAAATAAGTAAGTTATCGTGCACACAGGCAGACAGACGGACAGGCAGGCAGACAAGAGACAGACAGACAACAGATAGATGGTAGACAATACAAAATTATTAACGATCTGGGGAATCATTTTACACTTTTGCCAAGTGTAAAATTATGATACATTAAAAAATTGATTTTTTACTATAAGTTTTTTAGTAATAAACGCAGAAAATATTCCTTTCTTGGTCCAAACCTCGACAGTCGACACCATAACGAACCAAATGGAGAAAAAAGTAGAACAATAGCTCTTAAGATAAAGATCTAGTAGCGACCGGACGTACAGACGGACGGACAGACGAACGGTCAAAATGGCCACAATAGCACTAAATTATTTATGGTCAAAAGCAGCCTGAAGCTTTGCGTAGCTGTTTGTGGGATCATTTCCTTACCCAAAGAGCATAGGCAGGTTTTCAGTTTTTCGTGTTTTATTCATTTAGAAAGAAATTCTGTGATTAATGAGCAGTATCTGAGATTGGCAAACAGTTGGACAAAAAAACAGGGAAAAAATAAAATAGACAAACGGATACATTCGATAGAAGTAAATGCGGAATTAGTGTTAACGTACATTGAAGCACAAGATAAAACTTTGTAGTTTCACAAGGTTTCCTCAAAATACAGCTTGAGCTTTAGACAAATGTCGCGTGACAACAAACGGCTACCTCGCAATATTCGGTACGTATCTCTAGAGATAAAACAAAAACTCTTAAAAAGTAAACATATAAAGCAACATCTGAGGCGGCAGACAAATAATCGGATTACCCACATCTGCCGCAGCACCTGCATTGTTCTTTCAGATTTTCATCTCCATATATAAAGTTATCCTAAATTAATTATTCGATAATGAATCAGAACCACGTCATTGTAAAAGTTTTGTTATAAAATTTATAATGCTCGCGTAGGATTTATTTCTGAATAATCCTCCGTCCGTAGCGTTAAAGTTGTTTCTCGAAAGCCCATTCCATATATATGATGAAAATTAATTGAGACTCAAAAATTGTTTATTTTCTAACGGCTATCGATTTCGACGATAATGTCATCTTCAGGCCGAGCTGAAAGAATAGAGTCCTTCATCAACAAACCCATTCCATATACTTTATAATATTATCTATTATATCTGATGCTTATGGTGCTTATTGCCAAAACTGATGCTACAGAGCCTAATATCATCACCCACTTTTCGGTACTGCTTATGAAGTGTTCATATGTTATCAACATTGGGACCAACCTGTGACACAGATGAATGATCGGATATTCATTGTGGAAAATTTCACACAAAAAGTTTAAATCAATATAAGGACAAAAGATCACGTGTCGACTTTACTTTAATTTTTATACATGTCCAATTTGTGGACTATTGTGGCACTCTATCAATACACCCACTTTAGACCTATTTAAAATTACTAAATATAGAGATCTATTATAGGTAGAAGGATCTGCGAAATTATTATAAATGCAGATTGTACAAGAAAAGTTTTTCCCTTGATTCTATTCTTCTGTTCAATGTTTTCGACGATTTAGTTTACAAGTAATGATACTGTCCGATATTGTTCCTTTGTAACTTTAATTAGCAACTTTTTCGTATTTTTGTGAAACACTTTCTCTTAATTAAAGGAATGATTTTCCCTAAAGCAATGAAATTAAATATTTTCCTTACTTCCCCATTCTCTTGTTAAATTTCAAACACATTCGTTGTATAACGCCAGGGCGTAAGTTTCTAACAAACCGTTATTTGCTCTTCTGCTAGATAGATATTTCAT